CCGCCGCAGCCTCTTCCCCACGATGCCCCGACACAACTACCACAAGGTGGCGCCGCTGGTGCGGTCCCTGTGCGCCAAGCACGGCATCCAGTATCAGTCCAAGCCCCTGCTGTCCGCCTTTGCCGACATCGTGCAGTGAGTGTGGGCGGAGCCGGCGGGAGGTCGCGTGGCCCGGCCCCCTCGCCATGTCCCTCACCGCCTGCCGTGTCCCTGCAGCTCGCTGAAGGAGTCGGGGCAGCTGTGGCTGGACGCCTACCTTCACCAGTAGCAGCAGCCCCTCCCTGCCCCGAGGGATGAGGAAGGGACCTCTCGGCCACAGTGGGGCGAGATGTGGATGTGCAGCGGCGGTTGGGGCGCAGGCGGGGCTGGGAAAGTGCGGTGGTTTTTCCACTTAAGTAGACACAGGTGGGTGATGAGTAGAGGGGATCAGGAGGGTTGGAGAGGGGGCACTGGCCCCGTGTCCCCTCTCCAGCAGACCCCAGAGGGCCATGGCAGCCAAGAGCTTAGGGAAGCGGTCGCCTCCCGCCTGGGGATCAGCTCCCTGGCCAGCAAGCCTGGCGCATCCCAGGGTGCACAGCAGGCAGAGGCCAGGGCTGTCCTGGAGCCTCTGCTACCCGACCCTGGCGCTGCTGCGGTAATCGAGATCCATCCGCCCGGTGGGAGCCGTGGTCTCAGTGTCAGAGACCTCTTCTTACTGTGCCTCTGACCCCCGCAGGAGCGCAGGACGCACTTCCTGCTCCACAGCCAGTGAGCAGGCGGGGTGATTGGGCCCGTACCCCTACAAAGAAACGGGGCCCCAGTGGTTCCCCTTTGCCGCCCACCTTGTAACTCCGAGTAGTAAGATAGCAGTGAGTATGTGTGAGAGGTGTGAACAGCAGGACACAAACACCCAAAGCGGAGTACACAAACCACCCGGAGTCTGGTCTGAAATGGGAAGGTTACAGGCCAAGTGTTTGTGGCCGTCACTGTGTCCTCTGTCAGCTTTTGTGCCAATGTCTGATTCTTGTGGAGCCCAGATGGGATTTGTAGGGTAACTTCTTAAAAATGTACTAACACTGGATGTCAGTTTTAAAGTCTGATTTGCAAAAAAACCCAGTTGAACTCATCATTCCAGAAAGGGGCTCGGCAGCCTGTGGAGTCTTTCTGAAGCCCTGAGGCTGCCTGCCATCCTGCATTCGCCTGTCCCACCTGACCACGGCCCTCTGGCCTGCTGGGAAGGCAGAAGCAGGGCTCAAGTTGGCTGGGGCTGGCGCCTGACAGCAGCAGGGTGGTAGCGCTCGGGGTGGGCCTGTGCTGAGGCGGGTGGGTCCGGAGCTTTGCCTAAACCTGCAGCGCCACTGGCAGTGCTCAGGCCTCTCGTGATGGCCCTGCCAGAGCCTGCTCGAGGACGGTGGGGTGGGAGGAGCGTTGCCTGGCACCACTCCTCACTCCAAAGAAGGTGCTGTCTGACCTCTTCCTGTCCCTGCCCCCAGCTGTGTGGCATCCCCGGCCTAGGGCACCAGCTGGCCCTGGCCCCAGGCCCCATCTGCACGAACACCAGTGGGCACCAGGGCCTGAACTGCTGTGGCCTTAGTTCCTTCGCCGCTGCTGTGTGGTCCTGTGGGGGATTCGGGACACGCTCACAGGAGAGGCCGCCTGGAGCCAGGCTGAGGCAGAGCCCTGCGGCCCCTCCAGCTCCGGCCGCTGTTTTTCTTCATCTCCACGTCCAGACCTGGGTGTCTCCCCTAATCGGGCCCCAGGTCGGGATCTGGTGTGTGCCAGTGTTGTTACCACATCCTGGTGGTGTAAAGCTGAGAAGTCCAGCAGTGACCGTGTGACGGTGTGGTTTGTCATCGCAGTGGGCGTGTGGGGCGTGCGCGTGCCACGCCCCGGCTCCTTCACTGTGCTCTTGCTTCCCTGGCTGCTTTCTACACCCTCAGGCGGAGCAGGAGCAGGAGCAGGAGACGCATGACCCAGGCCAGGTGGTGGCTCCAGCCCTCGCCCACCTGGTTCCCAGTCACTGCCTCTGCCTGTGCCTTTCCTGGTTTCACGTGTCTTGCCCGAGTCCCTTCCACCTGGACCTTGGGAGTACAATGCCTCCCCTGTTCCCACCTGTGGGTGGTTTCCCCACATGGTGCCTGTGCAGTCAGATTAACAGGTGTCTAGAAAAAGTGATTCTGCTTCACAAGTCAGAAACCAAGCGCACCCATGCGTGCGCTCCGCTGGCGCTGACTCAACTGCAGTCACACGAGGGTCAGCGTGCTGCTCTCCCTAAAGAAATCTCCTTCGTGCATTGAGTGCTGGAGTAGGGACAGTGAACAGAACTCCATTCCCATTGTCCGGCTTGCTGGGGAGTCTCCTGCCTCAGCCACAGGAGTGCTACCCCCTGGGGTGTCACCTGGAAAACCGCATGCTGTTCAAAGGCTTAGAAACCAGTGGTGCATCTTGTTTACCCTTCCCAGATGGTTTCCATTTGATTTGATGGCTACTTGGCATTTTCAGCTTCAAGTGGCAGTGATGGGTGTGCTAAACACAGGCTGTACCACCTCATGCTGGCAGAATAACTGCAGGGGGTGAGGGTGTGGGTGAAATCATGGGGACAGTTTCCATCTCCCAGGGCATCAAGACATCAGAAACCTGTTGTTCGTTTATTTTTTGGTAGCGGGGATCGAACTCAGGGCCAGGCAGGCACTGTGCCACGGAGCTGAATCCCTGGCCCACAGCAAGATGAACCAGGCGTCCACCCCGTGGCTCTAGGGCCTGGCGCCACCTCGTGGCCACTCGGCCACCTGTCCCAGGGTGTGATTCCAGCGTGTTCGCTTGGGTGGGAAGGAGAGCATCCCTGACCTGGAGCACCACGGGTTTTCTCAAATGTTTCCAAAGAACACCACATTCAGGATACTTTCGCCATTTTATTGATTTTTCTCCCCGTTCATATCTTTAAAACAAAAACAGCATAAGACACCAGTGTGTAATCCCAGCTGCAAGAGCTCCCAACTTCCTCCTAACATCACACAGCAAGCACAGTCACATTTTCACCTCAACATGCAGCCAGTGGTCAGTGCCTTGTTCCCAGGCGCAGGGCCTCCTGCCCTCAGGAGCTCTTCCCTCCTACAGCAGGCCAGGCTCAGCCAGAAAGGGAGGCACGCTCTGCCTCAGCCTCCCTTCGCCCCCAGTCATTCCCAGCCGTCTTGTCCCCTCCGCTCCCCTCCCTCTTCCCGCTTTAACACTGCTGTCACTGGCACTAACGATGGATCCAGTGTCCCTCGCCCTGCTCCGTGACCTTCCTGCGACACCAGGGAAAGGGAAGTGCTGCGGAGATTCTGCGGGGACCAGAGGCAGGCGCTCGGGGCACGGGCACGGTGGGTTTACTTCCCCCTTCTGAACTTCCCTGCAGCCCCCGACTTCGCCTTCTTCTTCACGGACCCCTTGGGCTCCGGCTCCTTGCGCTTGGCTGAAGACAGCGAGCCGGTCACCTTGAAGAAGTCGTCCAGCCGGCCCTGCGTGCTGCCCTGGCGGCTCTTGCTCAGCCGGCGGACGCCGCTGCGGATGCGCTCCTCGGAGAACTGCTTCTCTCCGCACAGGAACTTCACCAGCTCCTCCTCATTGGGCTCGCTCCACTTCAGCTCCACAGACTCGGGGTCCAGCACCTCGGGCTCCAGGAAGAGCTGCTGCGCCTCCTTATGCAGCCAGTTCTCAGGCACAGGGTACTTGCTGGGGTCGAGCCGCCGCACAATCTCCTCGATGCTCTTGTGCTTCTGGATGAGGTCCACGGCCCGCTTGGGCCCGATGCCCCGGATGCTCTCGCAGTAGTCGCTGCCCAGCAGGATGCACAGATCCACGAACTGCTGCTGGGTCAGGCCCAAGGCCTGCAGGACGCGGCTCAGGTGGAACTCCTGGATGGGCAGCTTCTTGGCCTCGCTGGCGGTCAGGTGGCGCATGAGCACGGGGCTGCCAAAGGTGAGGCAGTCCATGTCCTCGGTGGCCGCGGCGTAGACTTTGCCAGCCTTCACCAGGGCAGCACAGCTGGCCTCTGCCTCACTGGGGGCGTCGAGGTACGGGACGCCCATGAGGCTCAGCAGACGCTTGCACTCGTCGTTGTGCTGCTTCGTGACCTTCACCAGCCGCTTGGTGAACTTTTCCACCTCCTCCTCCGCCCCGGCAGCCTGGGCCTGCTGCAGCTGCTTCTCCGCCTCCGCCCGCCGCTCACCGCGCTTGGCCAGCTCGCCCGACTTGAGCTGCGGTGGTTTGCCGTCGAAGACATACACAGGCCTGATGCCGTTCTCCATCATGCGGATGGTGCGGTAGAACATGCCCATCAGGTGGCTGGTGGTCTCCCCCTCCTCGTTCTGCAGCACCTCTCCACCCTGGCGAACGGCAATCAGGAACTGATAGATGCTCATGGAGGCGTCGATGGCCACCTTGCGGCCAAAGTAGCTCTTGATGTCGTTCTCCCGGATGGCACCAGGGGCCACATCAGCAATGAGTTTGGCCAGGCCTTGAATTCCCATGGCTAAAAAGCAAAGACAAGAAAAGGAGAAGCTTTAAGTCCCTAACAGTAAAAGGGTCACTGAGGCAAGTGTCATTTCAACCAGTTGATCCTTATACTGAAGAAATTTGATAAAACTGCTGTTTTTATAGTTTCTGTTATAAAATTAATAAAAAATATTCAATTTCTGGTCATCCTGTATTTAAATAATTTCACTGGCAAGTGGTTGAGTTTTGTGCAAAAGTGAGGGTTATAGTTGGTGCTCTCTCACCAACTTTGTTTTAGTATTGGGGATCGATCTCAGGACCTTGCAGGTGAGGCAGGCACGGTGCCACTGAGCTAAATCCCCAGCCCTGTCAACTTCTTGTTTAACCAAGATACCAAGTCAGCGCAACAAGATGAAAAGATGAACAAGACAAGATCCTTCAATGTCAAGAAACAGTTCAGGATTGCTCACTCGATACTAAGGTTGAGTATTGGGAGGGGATCTGATTCTTAAAGGAATTACACACTGAACACGGTATTCTTGAGGGCTGTGAAGTTGTGGATAAGGTAACGGCATGATCCATCATGTAAAGACTACAGTGGACATGGCATCAGGGACGTTGTGGCTCAGCACAGGGGCTCTGGAGATCACAATGGCAGAACAGGCAAATACCAGCCACAGGACAGGCAAATATTAGCCAAACGTACCTGCTGTCTGCTCTGTTCTAGAGAACTCTGAGAAGGCAAGTGTGACATCTGGACAGGGGTGATGCGCTGCTTTAACCTGCCTTTGGCACTCCCTTAGCACATAAAGAGCACCTACTTTTATCAGGATGTTGCCGGGAGTTTTATGTTTTTGGTACTGGGGATTGAACTCGGGATCTTGCACTTGCCAGGCAGGTGATGGTTGCTGGGAGTTTTAAATCTTCACCTTTGTAAATTCTCTCCACCAGTAAGTCTGAAATGTGCAACCCATGGCTCTACCCCCTCCCCATGTCCTGATTTCCAGGCCTGTATGTTGTGGTCACCTGGCCCAGTATGCCACTTGTCAAACCTTCCCTGGGGCAGTGTTTCCCAAACTACCCTCACAATTTTTGTCACTTCCAACCTAAAGCTGAACTTTCATTCATTTACTGTTTTCTTTAGGTGGACCAGATCTTTTAAAAAACTAAAGTAAGTTGAAAAAGAAAGTGTATTCTAGGCAATAACATTTATATCATTAATATTTTGATATGTGTGAAATATGTAACTATCACAAAAAGTCGTTTAGGCTGGGCACGGTAACACGCCTATAACTCCAGCTACTCAAGAAGCTGAGGCAGGATTATTACAAGTTTAAACCCAGCTTGGGCAACGCAGTGAGACTCTATCTCAAAACCAAAAAGTGTTTAAAAGGCTGGGGATGTAGCTCAGGGTGAAGGCCCTGGATTCAATCCATGGTACTGCAGCAAACGATGTTTAGCGAGCAATTTAAAGGCATCTGGTCAGCCCAAGGATGGCTCCTGCCCGCTCTAAGGAATATTCTATCTGGCTTCTAATTGTCCCTACTCTTCCTCACAAGATTCTTTCTGGAGCAACAATAAGTGACTGCTACCTTCCCGTTCCTGATTAAGTCCCTACACCTCCGCATGGGATCAAGATCAATGTCCTCCTCCCGCCCCCCCAGCCCACCTGTTTCGCTCCCCCAGGAACAGACAGCCTTGGTGGTCAAGGCTAGGCCCCGATCCTAGATGTCTGCAGCCATCTGTGTGCAGTTCTCAAGCCACTTTAGCTTGGTCTGCTCATCTGTAAAACGAGGATGGTAACCACGCCTGCCTAGCAACATTCGCGCCAAGGGGAGCGGAGGCAACAGGTAGAAAAGTCCCCGCTCAGGAAGCCAGTGCTCAGCAAACGCTCCCCAACCTTGCTTTGCGAGATCGTGTGCAGAGGACGATGCCCTGCGCACTGCTGTTCATGCTCTTGGGACACCCGGCCGTTGAAGGAAGACGGGGCCTGCACGCGGTTTCAAACACGATTCTAGTAAACTCACGCCACAAGAGGCGGGAGTTACGACCCTAGTCCTCCACGGAAGAGAGGCCCAAGTCTCAGGCGGGAGGCGCCGGCCTGCAGGTGGTGAAGCCGCGCGCCTTCACCTCGAAGACGACCCCGTCCTGGGGGTCTCACCTGCGCCTCCGCCGCCAGCTCTGGTCCGGTAGCGCCGAGGTAGTGCCAAGCCCCTCGCCTCTGAGCCCGGCTGCAGTTCCCTCTAGCCGCCGCTCACTCTTCACCGCCTTCCAAAGCCCGCGCTCGCGTCACGTGACGCGGCTGTCACGCACAGCCTCCCGGGAAATGTAGTGCAGCCCTGTACCCCGGTTCAGAGCTCTCCCGGCATGCGGGCCTGCTGGATCAAAGGATACACTAAAGACCCTCATCCACCCATCGGCCCCTCGTGTCCCCACCTCGCCCATATTCGGTCCCCGCAAGCCCAGCTCTCCTATAACACCCCCCCCGTCGCAGCTGGACTACAAGTCCCAGAATGCCCCTCGCGCGGGCCTTTCCTCTTCCGGCGCGCGAGGCGCAAGCTCCTGCCGACGTGTTCTTCCGGTTGCGAGCGGTGGCTCAGCCTGTGCGGGCGAAATGGTGAGAGGGCTGGGGCACTACCCCGGGGATGCGAGGAGGCGGCGCCCCACGCTGCGTTCTCTTGCAGAGGCCGGGCGCTCCCGGGATCCGGCTGGAGCTGGCGGGCAAGGAACGCCCTTGCCTTGGGCTCCTTGGGCGGAGGGCGGAAGCGCCCGGGTTCCCGTTGCGGTGGGGGCAGTGAACACCTGCGCGAGCTCTTGCAGCTCCATCTCCTGTTGTCACTGTCTAGAAAGTTGTCCCCCGCTCCCGAAGTACCCACCCACGAGGCCCTGGGCAAATGTCACTTCCCGGTGAAGCCCTGGGGGTTCGCAGGCCCGGGGCCTCCGGTGCTCCGTGCAGACCCCTCGCCACGTGTGGTGGGCTTTGTCATCGGCCACGCCTCCCAGTGCCCGTCTTCTGACGCGCTGCTGGCTCTGGGACAAGGCCTATTCATCTTTGTGTTCCCAGCGCAAACACAGGGCCTGCGGATGGAGGCCCTATAAATGGCAGTGATTGTCTTTATTGCTTCCAGGGGGGCGAGGGGGACATAATTGTTTACTGGATTGAATTCCAGTGTCTCTTAGAACAGTGGGGTCTCTTTACTTTTCTAGAGCTGTTATGTTCTGCATCTCAGGAGCATTGGCTGTTGGGTGACAATGAAAGTTAACATTTGTCCAGAACTTGATGTTTGCAGCTCTCTCTCACAGGCATTAGCTCATAATTGTCCCTGCGACCTTAGGAAGGAAACAAACATACCTATTGAGCATTTACTCTGAACTAGATGTGTCAGCATGCATCATCTTAAGTCACATCAACCCCGTGAGATAGACATCGTTGTGTCCTCTTTACTTGGGCTCAGATTATTTAGTGGAGCCAGAATTTTAACTGATGAGGGTTTTCTACCTGCAGACTCTGGGGTTCCATAATGGTGTGGTGAAAATGGTACAGGATTGGAATTTGAGGTCTGGTACCTGTCTGGACTCCTACAGCAGGGATTAGGAGTTTGCAGTCTGTAGTCATAAGGTCTGCGGGCTCCAGAAATAACAGGCAAGCTTTTTCCTCTGTGGTTTTCCTGGGCAGAGCCCACAACTTTCCTCACCTTTCCCTAGTGGTCCTTGGCCTCCGAAGATGGCCAAGGGCCATTGATCTGCTGGTCACCTGTGTTGCAGTCTCTGTCACTTGACCTTCCGGAAATGGCCACCTCTTAAAGATATAATTATAATAATCATTCCCAGAGTGGATCACGAGCTGTTGGTTCTGAAGGATTCCTACATTTCTCAGGCAGAAGTGGGCCCCTGACAGCCACAGCAGCACAGGTGGCTCTGGTGGCTCCCGGGTTGGAATCGTGTGTTTCTTGGGTGAGTGACCTCATGCTCCCCTAGGAGCTCGAGGCCATGAGCAGATACACCAGCCCCGTCAACCCGGCTGTCTTCCCTCATCTGACCGTGGTGCTCCTGGCCATTGGCATGTTCTTCACTGCCTGGTTCTTCGTGTATCCTTTTCTGAGCAGCCAGTGGGCTGTGAGTGATGTAGGAAACTGAGGGAGAAACCGTGCTGGGTACCCACACCCTGCCAGCTTTGTATGTTGCATTGGGAGCTGGCAGTGCTCAGGGGCAGGCGTAGGTGTGATTTCCAGTTCAGGTGAGCTCAGTTTGCTCTTCAGACAGGGGGCCGGGGATGGGGCTGGGAGCCAAGGTTGGGAAGGTGGAGTAAGGAAGTGCGTGCCCAGGGTCAGGAGGTCTGAGGGCCAGTCCAGCTCTGTCCCAGCAAGTGGCCTGCGCCCAGTGGGCCTCACTTCTCCGAGGGCACCGTGGGGTGGTGTGGGGAGCAGTGTCCGCAGACTCTTCCGGCTGCACCAAGCTGGTGAACCCTCCGCCCACACCTTTCTACCCTGAGTGACCCTGGACAGCTCCCTGCACTCCACAGTCCCCCCTGCTAATCCTGAACAGCCTGCCCAGCTACGAGGTCACCTCCACCAAGTACACGCGGGACATCTACAAAGAGCTCCTCATCTCCCTGGTGGCCTCGCTCTTCATGGGCTTTGGTGTCCTCTTCCTCCTGCTCTGGGTTGGAATCTACGTATGAGTGGGTAAGAGCTGTGGCGGGTGGCACACTCCAGCCTCCAGGTGCAGCCGCCTCGGGGGCCCAGGCTTGTGGAGGGGACTCTGGACAGGAGTCCCTTCCTTGCCCTCCTGGGGATCAGGGCCTTCATGATGCCTGTCAGTGCTGCATCTTCCACGCTGCCCCACCCTCTGGCTTTGGGGAGCACTCGGGAGGGAGTGGGAGGCGTTATACACCAGTGACTTGGGGGGTTACAGACTAAGCTGGCTGCACATGACCACGTGTGACACATCCTCAGAAGTGTGCTGTGGACCTGACCTGACCTGCCCCCCACTGGCGGCATGGGCCTTGAGGAGAGGGTGGGGAGAAGGGGCTTCGATCTGGTTCTGACACTCCTGTCCTCTTTCAGGTACCCTGGGTGGCTTCACCGAACCCCTGCTTCTGTAAATTAACTTTTTTACTGTTAGAATCTCCCGCCTGCTGCTCACAATAAAGGCAGGTGTCACAGTCCTGTCCTGCGCCCTTCCTGCTCCTCAGCTGCCCTGCATATGGCTGTGCTGTTGGAGCTCGGCTGTGTGGCTGGCCTGTGGGCTGGCGGCCTGGGCTCTCTTCTCTCATCACTAAAGTGCACTCATCTGGGAGCTTTCTGCCCTGGGCAGCCCTGTCCATAATGCACTCACCTTCTGGGTGGGACCCCCTTGCCAGACTCAGTTGCCTGAAGTCGCCCCCAGCCGGGTGGCCAGGCAGGCAGTAGGAGGAGCACGGGCAGGGGAGGTGGCCGGAGACACAGCTAGTGTGAGGCTAGGGTGAGTAACACCCAGCACCCGTATGGCCTCTCGGAACCGGGAGGTCTGAGGCCTGGCCCACGGTGCCTCTTCTCCCAGCAGAGTGTTCAAGAGCCCAGGAGGCAAGCTCAGGTACAAAGCAGTATTTGTACATTTATTTATATGTGTATATTTACTTGAACAGAAAAGGCAACTTGGGGGACAGGGAGCAAGTGGGCCCAGGGTGGGTGCACGATAAATATGAGAAGATGGGAGTTAAGTGGGGGTGACACTGTGTGGACTGCGGCGTGGGTGGGCGGGGTCCACTGGGGGAAGCCCTATGTACAGCGGAGCGGGGGGACGTTTAGCCACTGCCACAGGACGGGTACTGGGGCATGTGTAGGGGAGAGCACCCACCTTGGCCCACCCCTTCTGTACCCAGGGCCAGGGTACCTTTGGTCCAGTGTTCACCCCTCAGGCAGTAGGAGCTGCTGAAGGGATCCAGGGGCAGAGAAGGGTCATTTTCCAGTTAAGGGCTGAAGGGCCCCGGCATACACAGAGAGCCCAATCTCCCCCACCCCCAGCCCCTGTAAGGCCCTGTCAGGGTGGCTTCCCTGGAGGGTTAGGCAGGACAGGAGCACCCTCCACCGGGCTCAGATCTGTCAGGATGAGAGTGGGGCCCGCACCCCACCCCCGGGGAAGTGCTCAGGGCCAGAGAAGGGGCCCCGCTCGTGGTATGGGCCTTAATAGAGAGGCTGCCCTGCGAAGCACTGCTCAGGACAGCGTGGGGCAGGGCTAGGTGCTCCAGGCACCACTGGCACGTAGTAGAACCTGACCCACTCCCACCTCTACTAGGCACCATCGGTCTGGGGGAGCTGAAAAACGGGCTGGAAGTACGCTGGGCTCTGAGCTCCAAGGGAGCAGGGGCAGGGGTCCCCCAGCGGCTGGCCCCGGCCGTCCCACCACTGCAGGGAAGCCTGCCCCTCTGCTCAGAAGGTGGGGTCGGCAGTGTGCTGAGTCCCTTCACGGCGGCCCAGGCTGCCTGGCCTGGTCAGGCTTGCGGGCCGAGGGTGGCATGAGGAACAGGCGCCAGCCGTCCAGGGCTGACTCGGGCCAGGTCCAGCGTAACAGTCACACCGTGGGGAGGAGAGTCCCCGCCGAGAGTCTCCGAGGACCGGGGCCAGTGCTGCCCAGACCCCAGGATTTCTCCGCAGAGGTCAGTGCGGCTCCGAGGCTGCCATGGTTGGGGGTAGCAGGCAGGCCAGCAGCTCCAGTGTGAAGGAAGACGCCTGTCTCCGGTCCTGTCCCTGCGAGGCTGTGAGCCATCACCAGCACTTGGCCCCAGTGTAACACTGCATCCAGCGAGGAGGGCCAGGCCCGGGTCCCCGCGTGGCCACCGCCGCCGCTCAGGGACACAGGCGGTAGAAGTGGAAGTAGTAGTCTGTGGCTGGCCGGGCCTCCCAGCTGCAGTTGGCCTGACCCTGGGGGAGGGCAGTGAGATGGCTCAGGACCGCAGGCAGCGACACCGCTGCCAAGACGCTGCAAGAGCCCTGCGCCCCTCCAGCCCCTGCAGAGGTGGAGCCTGTGCCCTGGGCACAGGAAGAGCCTACACTCACCAGCAGTGCCACCCGGAAGTGGTAGGTGAATTCGCGGGTGGACAGGACAGCGATGGGCCACTGGTGGGAGGTACCCTGCAGAGAAGGGTGTCGGGTCAGCAGCCGCATCACCCCTGCCACACCTAGGCCACCAGAGCCACAGCAGCCCTGTTCAGAGGTGGGTGCCGTGGCGGCTGCCTTCCCTCCGTACAATGCCCAGACCATCTTGCACCTGGCTCTGGGCATGTGGGCTGCTCCCTGTTACAGTGAGGAAACAGCTACTGGCCCAAGGCACACAGTGTGGGGAGCTGGGGCGCCAGCCCAGGTCTGCCAGACACACCCTCCCTGGTGGCACTCGGGTCAGCGTGCCAGCCTCCCACTGTCCCTCTACCTTGGGTGCTATTCCTGCCATCACTGCCCTCGCCCGCTCCCTCTGCTTTCCACACAGCTCTTCTCCCTTGAAGATGCTGCCATTGGGGGTCGAAACCTGTATCCCCACCTCTGTCCCACCAGCAGGAGCAAGGCCCTTGCCGAGCAGACAGCACGTGGGCAGGGGCTCACAAGGCTGTCGGCCCCGGTGTGCAGGCCTGACCAGTGAGCCGGACGGGACCAGAGCTGCGGCCCAGGGCTCTGCATGCTCAGGCCACCTGCCTGGCCTGACCTGTGCAGCAGAGGCACCAGCGCACTGTGCCAGACCCACTCTGCACCTGCTCGGGAGCTGTCCAGGGAAGGTTTGGCCCTGCTGGTCCTACCTGGGTGTCCCAAGGGGTACGGGCGTTCTGCGGGACACCCCCCTCCTCACACGGCTCCGCCGCTGCCGACAGGCTGCACAGCACCACGGACACCGGGGCGGAGGAGCTGGGGAAGAGGCAGTGAGGCACAGTCCTTGCCTGGCCCGCCCCACCCCACCCGGCACACACGTGCTCACTTCATCTGCAGGGTCAGGCTGAGGTGTAGTGGGGTGCGGCTGCTCACCGGGATGTGGTAGGTGAAGTTCCCAGGCCTGCAGGGCAGAGGGTGGCTCAGCACGGCCTGGCAGGGGCTGCCCTGCCTGGGGTGCTCCTCCCGCCGAGACCCACCTGCAGGCATCTGCGGGGGCGCAGTACTGGGAGGTGATGGGCATCATGGTCTCCAGCACCTGGATGGAGGTCAGGGAGGGCACTGGGTCTGCAGGAAGAGAGGCTGTTGGGGCTGGGCGAGGGCAGTGAGGTGGGACAGAGGGCGGCAGCCTCCTGCCGGGCTCCCAGTGTCCCTCAGTGGGGCTGTTTCATTGGCCAGGATTGCACCGCACCCCTTTCCAGCAGTCCAGGGAACCTGAGATCTGCACCTCTGCAGAACCAGAACACCCCAAGCAGCAGCTGTGGTCACCACACAGGGAGCATTGACAGCTGTGGCTGTCCCCACCTGAGAGCCACTGTGGAGCTCCCCCATGCAGGCCCCAGCACGCTGGTGGGGGACAGGTCTGTCCTGTGACCTGGGATGGGCCCAGAGCCCAAAGGCCAAGGGCGCACTGACAGCCAGGGGTGGGTGCCAGACCAGGACGAGCTGGATGGTGTCCTTCCCACGGTTGGTCCCACGTGTGCTCTGAAGCCACCCCCCCCGTCCTGTCCCTTAGGTCCTCATCACCACTGGCGAGCTGGCTGGGGGCAGTGGCATCCGTCTAAGCTGCCTGTAGGCCCTGGCCCAGGAAGCGCTGCAGGGTGAGCCCCATCCCGGTTCCTGTCACTTGGAACTTCAGCCTCTGTGAGGCACCATTTCCGAGCCTTTCTGCTCTTGAAGCCACACAATTCACTAGTGGAAGTGGAGAGGCTCACGTCTCAGTGCAGGGTTGCTGGCCTACATACCCAGGACAGCTCCTGGGCACCTCCAGAGCCCAGCTCAAGAACCTCTGCAATTACAGGTTCTCAGAAGACTGGGCATGGTGGTCCACAGGAGGCTGAGGCAGGAGGGTTGCAAGTTCCAGCCCAGCCTGGGCAATGTAGTGATTTACTGAGACCCCATTAAGACATAAAAAAGGGAATCTGCCGTACTACAAAAACAAAATAAATTATAAAAATTGAAAACTCCAAAGGTTTGAGGTTAAAGAGCTGGCGAATCCTATGCAGTGCCTTTCTCACCCTGGACAGACCCTTCCCTGAAGTCTCCCCGTCCTCATCCGGATGGTGGGGCCAGCAGGTTTGTGGGGCCCTGGGGGTGAACTACAATGACCTTCGCTGCACGCTCCACATCCACTGCAGCTGCCCTGTGCCAGGTGTGTGTGAGTGGGCCGCAGTGGGCGTGTTGGGGAGGCCAGTACCTGGCTGGCCCTGGGTCCCAGGGGGGCTGAGTGCTGGGACCCTGCGGCGGGCCCGGCCGTGGAGCCCAAGGCTGGGGCTGTTCTTGGCCTTGCTTGGCCCCCCAGGGAAGGGGACTGCAGGGCTGGCCGCAGGCTCCATGCCTTTAGGGTGCTTGGTGCGACCGATGCCGTTGGCTGAGATACCCCAAGACTTGGCTCTGATGCTCGTGACTGGCAGCAGGGCTGCCTGGCTGGGGCCTGTGGGCAGGACCAGGGCACGTGAGAGGGCACTAGTGCCATGTCTCATTGCCTAAGGCTTGGCAAGCCCGACTATCCCTTGGTCCCTGGGGTGGCTCCCTAGGCTTCCTGTGGTCCTTACTCTGGGCCTGAGACCCCGCACCCACAGATCTAGGCCCTCCTCTGTGCCATCCCCCACCCAGGGCTGGCCCGTACCTGAGTGGTTGGTAGCAGGGGTAGGGCTAGGGCTGAGATGAAAGCCAGAGGCAGGGCTGGGGGTGGCACAGCAGACGACAGGGCAGGGGTGGCTGGAGCACAGGTCCAGAGTTCGGACAGCTGGTACTGGGGTCACTGAGGAAGGGGGATCTGCATAAGCCCAGAACACAGCCCCTGTACCTCCCCTCCCACCGGCCCAGCCCAGCATGTACCTAGCAGCAGAGAGGGCTGCATGCCGGGCAGCCCTGTGGTCACAGGCAACTGGCGGAGCTTCGTAGTCCCAAAGCTCTGGCTGGACCTGCTGGGAAAGGCGGGTGAGCTCAGGGCTGGGGCCTGGGAAGACAGGAGGAGGAGGGCGTGGGAGGAGATGGGAAAAGGGCTGCAGGTTGCCTCACTACCCCGAGCACGCTGGGGCTGGAGCAGGGCCGGGAGACAGGACGGGACACGGCGAGAGAGCCAAGTACGAGAGGCCAAGGGGCGACAGGCACAGGGAGCAGAGGAGACAGAGGTGGCCTGGGAACGGGGTGTGGTGGTGACGGCCAGGTCCTGCCTTGGCTCCTTCCTGAGCCAGCCCAACAAACCCAGGGACCTGGGACAGCTGCCTCCGTGGGGCCCAGCACGAGAACCCAGCCCGGTCCCAGACGTACCCATCAGTGTCCACCAGGTCCTCCTCGGCATGCAGGCTCAGCACGTACAGTGTGGACATTGATACCACGCTGGCAGCCAGGGACAGGTAACTGTCAGAGCCAGAGCCACGGGCCAGCACCCCCAGGGGTCGGCACAGGCCCAGCCCCATCCCTGGAGACCATGGCCACGTCACCTCCCACGCCGCACCCCCGGGCCCCCAGGGTGTCACCTGAAGGCCATGACCACCACCAGGGCAATGATGGTTCCCTGCAGGAAGCGCTGGCTGACACAGGCCTGGTCAGGGACCACTGAGGCCGGCTGAGAGGGGGGAGGGAGGAGCGGAGAGGGACACTGAGGCACCTGGGGGACCCCAGTCCTGGGCAAAGTGGCCCCGGCCCACCGCTCACCTTGCTTACGCCTGCCCTCCCGCCCCGTGCCCACCTGAGAGCGCCTGCACTGCCGGTGGACTTGAGGCTGTCCAGGCGCCGCAGCGTGGCCAGCTGGTGGCTCCAGCGCTCCAGCTCGCCAATGCGCGTCTCCAGGTTGTCTGTGAGCTTGCACAGCTCCTTCACGGCGCCCACGTTCTCCATGAAGATGCGCTCCTGCGGGCGCGAACATCAGCACCCACTGCCCTCCCAGGCGCCCTGCAGGCTGCGGGAGGACCAAGGACCTCCTGGGCTGGGGCCGCCCACCTTGTTCACCACCAGGAAGTTCTCCACGGTCCTCCCGTTGGCAAAGACCATGTCCCCTGTGTCCTTCACGGCCTCGGGCAGGATCTCCTTCACCTCCTGGGCGATGACACCTGCGGAGCGGGTGGGGGGGTGGGCCCCTCAGGCTGGTGTTCACTGGGACACGGGGTGTGGGGCGTGGGAAATGCGAGTAAATGGGGAAAGGGCAGGTTCCCAAAAAATGGGGCTCACACCGGTGGGGGCCAGGAGTAGGACTCCTGGTCCCAGGCCAGAGGGGGAGCTCCTGGGCGCAGGGTGCCAGGGCCCCTACCAGTCTCGGGCGCCGCGGCCTCAATGCCCGCGCTGGCAGCAAACTCCGGCTTGTAGCGGTAGCGCCCCAGCCGCATGCGCGAGATCCTCTTCAGCTGCTCCGTGGTGTCCACCTTCGCGACGGCCAGTGCCAGCCTGAGCCCGCAGCGCAAGCAGACCGGGCCAGGTAGACGGAGCCCCTGCCTCCCGGCCCCTTCTGCCTCCCCACCCCGCCCACCTCCTGCACGTGCTCCTTGGCGCGCAGGTCCGAGGGGTGCAGCAGCGAGCCCATGACCTTGACGTTGCCGTGCACCACCAGCGCCTCGTCCGGCCGGTCGGTGTTGATGCCCACGCGGCCGTGGTGGAAGACGGTGTCGGGCACCTGCGCCCTCTGCCACAGCACGTCGCTGTCGCTCTCAAACTGGCCTGGGTTGGAAGCCTAGGTCAAGTCCAGCTGGGTCAGTCCTGGGAGACGGGGACCTGCAAGGCCCTGGGAAGGGGGAGCCCCAAGTCGCTTCTCCGGGCCCGCCAGGCTCCTCACCCCCGCCCGGCGGAGGCGTCCTGCCACCCCCGGGCTTGGTCTCCTCCCCCTGTGCGGCTCCGCCTTGAGGAGACACCGCCAGCAGCCCCAGGGGCGGGGCGCCTCACCCGCACTATGATGCGCTCGGAGATCTGCGCGGCCAGCGTGTAGCTCTGGTTCTGCGCGTGCGCCTGGAGCGCCACCACCAGCATGAAGTACCTGGACAGACAGGGCTAGGACACTGGGGGCACCGAGGGCAGGACGCCACGTCCACGCAGCACCACTGCCGCTGCCACTCTCCTCACCTCTGGTCGGGGTTGGGCTTGCCCTTTTTGCGCATGTTGTTGGCTGTGGTCTCGCTGAAGTGCAGGCGCCCCACGGTCACCTTGGTGACCTGCTCGGGCGGCAGACTGACCCTGCAGAGCGGCAGCTGCTTAGGGCAGGGATGGAGGCTGCCCAGCCAGGCCATCGGTCGCTGCTCTTCCCCGGGGTGCCGCCGTCCCAATGCGGGACTCACGTGACGGGGTTGAAGGGCCGCTTGCTGCGGTCAGACTGGGACTGCTCGATGTTGATGCACTGATTCAAGGCCTCCAGCTGGGGGCGCAGGGAGGGGCTCAGCCAGGTGCCCACCTGCCTCCCCACCGGCGCTGAAACCCCAGCCTGTACCCCACGTCCACACCCTGGGGCTGCCTTCCAGAGGAGACCCACTGGGACTGGGGTGCCACCCTGCCCGTGCGCAGCCCCTCTGTCACAGGGCTACGGAGCCTCACAAGGGGCTATGAAGGGACCCAAGGGGTTGGGGTGTGGTGCCAGGTAGGCCGGAGTACAGGAGGCCCAGGCCCCTCTAGAAGCTGTGGCTGTGCCAGGAGGGCACCAGGGCCTCAGAAGGAGGTAGCAGGCTGTGGCCTCCTGTGTCACAGATGGGGACTGAGGACGGGAGGGATGTCGCAGGGAGAGGCTCCAGAAGGGCCAGGCGAGAGCAGGTGCTGGGACGTGGGGGCCAGGAGGTAGGAGGAGGAGACGGAGGGGTCCCCAGCAGGCCGTCCTGCCCCTGCCCAGCATCACGCCTACCTTCACCCCATGCAGCTTCAGGTAGAAGCAGTCGAGCGGCTTGAGGCCCTCAGGCGTCTTCACAAACTTGGGCTCGCCCAGCATGCCGATGTACACCGTGACCTGGAAGTGATTCTTCTTCTGGCACACGAAGGCGTCATCACCCACGGAGAAGTTGAAGCCCTTGTCGGCGTCCACGCGGTAGGTGAGCATGGGCCTGGGGCAGTGATGGTGTTCATGGGTCCTGGACCATGTGCCCTATGCTGTAGCCCAAAAGCCTTCTGCAGTGAGGGGCTGGCAGGTCAGAGGTGCCCACACATGCTTTACACGGCTGGTGACAGGATGTGGGGGGGCCCCGAGGCCCCCAGGGAGGGACCCCCCACTGTGCCTGGGAGGGGAGTGGGCTGGGGGCTACATCTGCAGAGCCTCACCGGCCTGACAGCCAGTTGCCATGGGAACAGTGGGACCAGGCACGGGCTCCCACGGGCCCAACCCCCCACTCCTACCCCGGCAGGGAGGGCGTTTTGGGCTCTCTGCCCCAGCCCTGAGCTGGCTCCTTCAGGGGAACTCTAGGTGGCAGTACAGACAGCAACTACTGGTTTCTGCCCTGGTCACCCTCGCAGTCCCCTGGCACAAAGGTGCCTCCTCTGGTCACAGCCACACATAGTGGGCAGGGCGCACACTTTCTGCTCGGTCAGGAGGCCTGGCCTAGCTCACCCGTCGCCCATAGCAGGACAGCAAGGAAGTGGGCGACCCTGAGGACTCAGTTCCCTGGCTCCCAGCCCTGGGCCTGGGTGGCGGGCTGGCCGGAGGAGGGGCTCCCAGGACCTGCCCTCACCCTGGCCCTACTTCGAGGGACACCTCAACTGGTGCAGCAGCTGGACCCCTGCCTGGCCCTGGGGACTTCTGGCTGGGAATCCCACGGCCCAGGGTGCTCTACTGTAGGAGGCCACCTTGCCCAGGTGGGGCACTGTTCAAAGGGACAGAGGCCAGCACCCTCTCACCATCGGGCCCTCTGGGGAGCAGGGGAGTGGTCCACCCACAGCCTGGGTGTTGGTGCAGGGCCAGGAATGCCCCAGAAAAATCTCTGCCAATGCTCCCCGCCCTCCTCCTGGCAGGGACCAGGCTGTGGGCAGGTCCCAGAGCCCTGGGCTTCACCATCTTCCTGGAATGCAGGGGAGGAGGAGGGGAGGGGAGGGGAGCGAGGAGGAGCCCGCATGCACCGGGCCACTTCCTCCTGATCTGGGCAGGCCCTCAGGTACACAGTGCCTCCCCGGGGCCTGAGGGTCCCAGCTCTGCAGCAGGAGGGGTGCTCCCTGCTCTAGAACACGGGGGGCAGGGGTGACTCACAGCTCCTTGTAGTTGGCATCGTACAGGGTGGCCCACTTGTTCTGCTGGTGGGGCTGCCACTTGATGGACTGGTAGTTGGGGTCCAGGTAGGAGCCACTGAGGCTGTCGCTGTCCTGCAGGAGACCTGTGGGGGGCATCCATGTCGCCGGGGTTCAGCTGCTCCCTACCCCAGGGCTGACCGGCTAAGTACCTGGGGAGGGCGCCCCGGGAGGGTGCCAAGGCGGGGTCTGTGCCCGGGTGATGCTGAGGGGCAGGGAACTGGGGCCGGGGGACAGTGGGCCCTGCGGGGGCCAGTGGGCCCTACGGGGGCCAGGACGGGGATGGGGCCCGGGTGGGGTGTGGGGGCAGCGCCGGCCCGGTCCCAGGCTCCTGCTTGATCATGCCGTTCAACATCTGGGCGCTGAGGGTGTTGGGGGGAGACTCGGAGTGCTTCCTCTTCTTGGAGGGGTGTGTGGGGAGCCTGGGGGGACAGGTGTGTGCCATGGGCCCAGCTCTCGGGCCTGGAGGACCGCCCCCTCTGGGCCACCACGCTGTCTGTCACCCCTTCCCAGGGCCCCGACACCGGGTGCCCTTCCTTAGGGTGCTGTGGTGGTGCTTGGATCAGAAACAGCCACAGAGGCTGGGGTCTCAGGGGCCTGTGTGGCTCCCCTCCCTTCTGTCTAAAAAGGGCTTTGCCAGCAGCATTTTTCCTTGAACAACATCCATGAAAAAGTATTTTTCTTCATGGTATTTTTGAGACAGGGTCTTGCTATGTGGCCCAAGCTGGCCTCGAATTCCGTGTGCTGGGATGGTAGACATGCACCGACGCACCCAGATCAATGATGAAATTTCAACAGAAAAACAGATGAGAGCCACCTGGCAGGTGCAGCCACTGGGGCCCAGGGCAAGGCCTGGCTCTGCCTCGTTCCCAGCTCTCCCCTCGGACCTCAGTTTGTCCATCGCCCGCCAGCCCCGCCCTCTGGCTGCCCCAGCCCCGGCCCCAGCCTCACTCGGCTCCATGCTGCAGCAGCTGGTGTAGCATCTGTGGCTGAGGGGTGTGATGGAGCTCGCTGGGCACCAGCCCCTGGCCCATGGTGTAGGGCGGGACAGGGGGCTCGGGCTTCAGGTACAGGTCCCGCTGCAACACGGGGTAGTGGGGTGGGGGCGGGAGCTCCAGGCGGGAGGGCACCCCCACGTGGCACAGGGTGTCCGGGGTGATGGTCCGCAGGAGGCGGGGGTCTGCGAGGAAGGGGTCCACAGTGGCCTGCCCTGCTCCCAGGCCGGGCCGCTGCTTCCGGGTTGGGGATTAAAATTTCACCCTCCCATTTGTGCAACTCTATTGGGTCTTATTGTAGAGATTGTACTTGCCCTGGAAACTCACTAACACTTGATACTCTCACTTTTTAAAATGCGTTTCTGATGGGAAAATAATAGTTATCACTTTGATACAGTGCATATTTCCTTGATTATTAGTTAGGTTAAGCACTTTATGATTGTTGTCTTAGTTACTTTTCTTGTTGCTGGAATAAAATACTCAACAGCTACAAGTTAAAGAAGGAAAGATTTATTTCAACTCACAGTGTGTAAACCTCCACTATCACATGGCTCTAAGGCAAGATGGTACAGCAGAGGGACATCACA